CGTGTGCTCCTGGGTGGAGGAAGGGGGCCACAGCAGGTGAGCACCTGTGGTGGCTCAGGTGGTACAGCACTGAAAGCTGCCCTTGCCAGGGCACAGTGAGCACCAGAAGCCTGATGAGCGGGTGGGATGGTAGTCAAGGCCTTCGCCCAGGCAACCTTGAGAGCTGAGCATTTCTCCAAACACCTTCCGGGCACCGAGAGGTGGGAGCCAAGCCCTTCAGCAGCCTGGCCCTGGATGCCAGGGCAGCATCGTGCAGCCGTCAGTGACTTGCTCTATACCAGCTTAGCCCTCAGGGCAGGGGTAGATGTAAGGAGTGCGTGCACGTGTGTGTATTTTTATGGGCAGGCTCCAGAGCTCTCCGTAGATTCTCAATCAAAAAAAATGCTAACAACCACTACTCTAAGTTCTAACTGCAAATTCTTTTTTTTTTTTTTAAATATATTTATTGATTTTTTACAGAGAGGAAGGGAGAGAGAGAGAGAGTCAGAAACATCGATGAGAGAGAAACATCGATCAGCTGCCTCCTGCACATCCCCCACCGGGGATGTGCCCGCAACCCAGGCACATGCCCCTGACCGGAATCGAACCTGGGACCTTTCAGTCCGCAGGCCGACGCTCTATCCACCGAGCCAAACCGGTCTCGGCCTAACTGCAAATTCTTAAACCTGAGAGGACTCAGGATTTTCTTCTCCATTCCCCATCAGACCATAAATTCCTCCACAAAAACTGTCCTGTGCCTCATTCTCTACTATAATCCCAGGCCAAGCACAGTGTTAAAAAATAAAAAAAGTTTTTTTTAAAAAGCCGAAACCGGTTTGGCTCAGTGGATAGAGCGTCGGCCTGTGGACTGAAAGGTCCCAGGTTTGATTCCGGTCAAGGGCATGTACCTGGGTTGCGGGCACATCCCCAGTAGGAGATGTGCAGGAGGTGGCTGATCGATGTCTCTCTCTCATCGATGTTTCTAACTCTCTATCTCTCTCCCTTCCTCTCTGTAAAAAACCAATAAAATATATTTTAAAAAAAATAAAAATAAATATTTTTTAGAAGTTAATTGGCCTAATTAATTAATTGGTGCTTATATCCCTTCCAGCATCCCTACTCCAGTTGCCTTTTCTTCTGAAGGGCTTAAAACATTTCAGAATTTCATTTCTGTAAACAGTTACACTATGGGAATGACCCAAATTTACGAAAGCTCAGAGTGAGATAGGCCAATGATACACTTATACTGGGCAGAGAAATCAGATCTCCCCTCTTCCAGTTCCTTCCGCCAATCACCACTGCTGTAATAAAGAGCAAAAACAGAGACCTGCTGCCCCCCAGTTCCACCCATCAGAGCCAACAACACACAGTTACAAGCAGAGAGATACCCAGGTGCACCCATGTGAGCCACACATGCAAGCACATCAGCTTAACTCAGTCAGGTAGTGACTTGAGAAAGAACTCCATCTGAGAATGACAAAAGGATGACCAGAGCCATTACCAAAAGCAGGAGACACGGAAGCCGGCAGCCACTGCCCAGGCTGTCTGACAGGCAGCACTGACAGCACCACAAGGCACACGTGCCCCCCCACCCCCGGCTCCTCGCCCGGATGCTGGGGCGGCAGGGGAGCAGGGGCACTGAGGCATTGGGTCACTTTTCTATTCTGGGAGCAGCCTCTACTCCCCGTCTTCTGATGTATAAAGCCAGGGCGGGCAGTGTGCCTACTCACAGGAGGAAAGGCAACATGCTCTCCACTCTTTGGCTGTCAAGAGGGGGCCAAGGGCTCGGAGGGCAGTCTTCTCAGGCGAACAGTTCCGTTCAGGAGAGCCTGAGCCCAATGAAAGCGGCCCTCCCTACCAGAAAGCAGAGAACTCAACCTGATCTCTAT